TTTTTTTTTTTTTTTTTTTTCACAATCAACAGACGACTGGTTAGCTTAGTTATTAGGCGGATGTTGGTGGTACAAAAGTTTACCAGAAAAATAGCAACATTAGGTTGTATCGCTTCTTGTTGCTGTTGTTGGTGGTGGTGGTGATGCTGAAGTTCGATACTTTTCAACAGGCTTTTTAAGCACAGACAGTTGTTTGGTTTAAATAGAAGCAAACAGCAACAGCAACACCCGTACCGGTCGAGGGCCATAATAAACAGTCGATGATTGAGTGAGTGAGTGAGTGAAGTTTTCAATGTTCAAAAAATACCGAAATTTGTCTAAACTGTTCTTCGCTTAAGACAGCCATCAACAATCTCCAATCCTTCAGCTTAATCATCATTTTCTCAAACGTTGTTGAAAGGTTAACCAACTTTGCTAACAGACAATGAAAATGAAACAATGAGCAGTTTTTTCTTAAACCAATTTTTTTTGTCAGACCTGTAATTTTTTTCTGTTTTGTTCTTTTTTTGCTAATCAGCAACGTCGATGTGAGAAGCATAAATCAGAGTAGATAAAAAAAGAGCACAAAACAAAAAGCAAAAAAAACAGGTATTATTCTTGTCTAGAGAATTTTTTCTTGCAGTTTAGCTGAATTAAATAAACCTGTGATACATATTTCTTCAATTTACTAAAATTTTCTATCTGCAAGAAATATTAACAAAATTTGAAGAGAAGAACTGATAAAAGCCAAAAAATTCTTGATAAAATTCTTGATTGTTAACAGAGAGTTGAATATTTGCATAGAGCTATTTGATTTAATATGTCAAAAAAAAAAAAAAAAAATTCTGTACATTATTGTGAAAGACAGCAATTTAAGAATTTTAGTTTTTTAGATTGTCAGATAGTTACAGATTTTCAGATCTCAACATTCCAACTAAACCAACTATTCTATTCCCAAAGTCATTTTAAGATGCTGATGGTTTAAGTGTTTGCCAATTAAAACTGAGGAATTCTTGTGATAATGAGAAAACTGTAGCCTGTAGTTTCAGCTAATCCTATTCAGGATTGTTTAATTTGCTGCTTATTAATATGAACAAGATAACTTGTAGACAACGATATTGCTTTTGGCAGTTAAATTTACTGCTTTTGAAGTTATATTTTCTGAATAGTTTCAAATTAATAGAATTTGTAACAGTATGAGAATTTAGAAAGGAAATACATACACAGATACATGTAAATAAACACCCACAACAAAAATACACATATCAGTGAACTTTTTGCCCCAATTAATTGTGCCGTCAACGATACAAAAATTTTGGTTCATTGATCTATTTTAGCAAAAAAAGCTTAATGATCAAAAAGCAATGTGGTATGCTGTTAAGAGGAGGGACAAGTGGAATAGGTTACACCAAAAGCTATTTTAATGAACAGACAAAAAGTTTTCTGCCTTTCCCGTCCCGTTTTCCTTCACTTTATTCTTTTTTTTTCTTCGTTTTTCTTTTTGTCTCGCCTGTTACTCAAAATTAACATTTTCCAGCAGGTTAATAATGGTCATTTGTTGTAGAAAGGTCTGAACTGATGAAAAAGATATTAATGTTTTGCCGTTGTTCTAGCTGTTTCCTTTTTTTTCTGATGTTCTTCAACAGCTGAACAGCATACTATTACAGACACTTCCTCTTCAATGGTTATGTCGCCGTCGGTTTTTTTTTTTTTTCTGATGACAGTCGTGCGACATTTTATATGTTCCTTTTAAAAAGAACAGAAAAAAAAAATGGAGAAAATGCCAACCAGAAAAAAAAATATTTTTTTTAACTTTATTTTGATAAATAATTTAAAAAGTTTAATTCCAATTAAGCTGCATTAACATCCGTAATGTTATCAAACGTCAATAAGAATTCTATCAAAGTAACTTTTTTTTCTCCTTTTTACAAAAACTATCATTTTCTTGTATCAAAGTTGAACTAATGATAATGATAATCATTATGTTTGTCGACTGTCTGCTAATGGTGACGAGAGTCTACTAGCAGATTGAAGATTCTTTTTTGCAACGGCAGTGAATTAGCGTCTGTTTGAATGGGAAAAAGTTGACGCTTTACACCCACCGAACTTAATGCATCTATGATCAGTTGAAAGCGAACAGAAGAAGAAGCTTCTCGATACAAAAACAGAAGATCAAACTGCAGTATAATCAACCCATAACAACTTTCACCATACTTATTAGTTAACAGCAATCACTGTTCTGCTATATTAAGCGTTTGACTACTTAACGATCACATTCGCCTCTCATTTTTTTGCTAGCCTTGATTCCAAGATTGTTAATGTTACTTTTCCAGAAGATGTTACAATACATTTTCAGTCTCTTCTTTTGTAAGGCATTCACATTAACAACGAGACAAAAGTTTGGCAATCTAGAGAAATATCTTTTTATAACAACAATTTTCTGCCGACAACTTCACCTTTCATTTAGCAAAACATGTTTTAAAAAAACCTCTTGAGTTCTTTTTTTAAAGCTTAATGACTGTAAAATTTTAGATATAAATACAAGTAAAAAAAGGAATTAAATAAGAAAAAAAAAGCAAATTATTTGTTTTCTTTTTTTTCCTTTACTGTCTGCAAGTATTTATATCAGTTTAAATTTTCAACCTGATTTAGACAAACGGTAAATTAATGTTTTCTCCCCTCCCTTACTGCTTCTACTCCTTTCACTTAATTAACAGCTTAAAGTTAATATTTGTGAACCTGAACAAAAAGCTAAAAAATGCAAAAATTCATATTGAAAGAAGGGGAAAGAAAAAATAGAAGACAATGCTGAAGGTGAGATGAGAACGAGAAAAAATTTAGTGGTGACGACAAAATGCAACAGTTGATTTGAATAGTTGTAAAAAAAGTAATGAATAGCTAAAAAAAAAAAAACAGTTAGAAACAATAAGAGCAAAAAAGAAAAAAATTTTCGTTCGTTTGTTGCATTTTCAACTTCTGTTCAATTCTGTCGCTTCTTATTCACCGCGGAACAGATAAACAACAATTATTATACAGAAAAAAATAGCTAAAAAAAAGACTGAAACAAAATTTTTAATTAACCGTTCCTTGTCCCTTTGTTTCTTTTTTTTTGATTCCTTATTTATTTGCTGCAAAAAATTGTCATAAACATCATTGCTGTTTATCAGAATGCTGCCGATTAGCCGAACTATTGAAGGGAAAATAGTTGTTATTTACTCTTTGCAAATTTTCCTTCTCAACAAATTTTGAGCATATAGACATAAACTGTCAATGTTGACGGCTAACAGGCGGCAGCAAAAACTGACTTTTTTTGTTTTTGTGCAAATTACTGATAACGACAGCTGAACACCAGCAGAAGCCAACAACAACAACTACTATCAACTGTGCCATTAATAATACCAATCAAGCAAACAAAAAAGAAGGTAGACGAAAAGTCATGAAGAATACTATTGCTCCGTCAACCAATAATGAAACTTTTTTTTTTTTTTTTGGCTCTTACACCTTCAGTTGTGTATAATATTTTAGCTTAGTTGGTTGGGTCGATCGTCCTTCAGCATGGCGACAACAACACAGCTTCGCTGCAGTCGTCCTCACTTAAACTTTGCTAATGCTGTTGTCGCTGTTGTCACTATCCTTTTTGTTGTCAATCTTTCAACAGTTTCATTGGTAGATGCCTCAACAGATTTCAACAGTGTGCCATCAATTGGCGGTATACGTAACCTTAGTGCTCGGGTTGAGGAAAGTAGTCATTCAATTGTGATCAGTTGGATATACGATTCCGCCG